CTATTATTTATCTACCCATCCGTCTGTCTATCTGTCCATCTACCTATCTAGCTGGCTAGCTATCATCTACCTATCTAGCTGGCTAGCTATCATCTACCTATCCATCCATCCATCCATCCATCTTTCTGTCTGTCCATCTACCTACCTATCTAGCTATTATCTACTTATCTAGCTCCCTATCTACCATCTATCAATCAGTCTAGCTATCAAAATATCTACGTATCTATCAATCTATCATCTTTGCATCATCGCCCCCATTAAGCTTAACGTTGTCAGAAAATGTACAACTTTTCGAAAATATCGTATCACGTTTGGTAAACAGTAATTAAACGCAGAAAACCTTTGCTTACAAAACTCAGTACAGGCAGGGACATAAATAGCATAACCCTAGTTGAGGTGAGGTGAATTGGTGTTCAACGTTGCGTTCAAGACGATTTTACTTATATAGCGTGTATGTCGCTGCTTATACAAGTCCGGACTGATGCCGGTTTTCCAAGCCGACCAGTCCTTGTTTTAAGGCCCTTAATGCTGAGCGCCAGGTAGGGTAGGAACCAGTACCATCTTTTAACGTCTTTTGGTATGACGCGGCCGGGGATCGAACCACCGACCCTCCGTTCTGTGTACTAACGCCAGTGGACTATCCTATATTTAGCGAGCTGTAATTCAACGCTGCGTAACTGAGGGTGCAAATATCCGAGTTTACATTGTCACTTGACCCGTGAAGATTCCGGGGTAGAATAGGTCTTCAGCAACCCATCCTTGCCGTAAAAGGTGACTATGCTTGTCGTAAGAGGCGACTAACATGATCGGGTGATCGGGCTCGCTGACTTGGTTGATGCATGTCATCGATCCCAATTGCGTGGATCGATGCTCATGGTATTAATCACTGGATTGTCTGGTCCAGACTCGATTATTTACAGACCGCCGTCATATAGCTGGAATATTGCTTAGTGCGGCGTTGAACAACAAACCAACCAACCAACATTGTCACTTAATCAGTATTCACTAAAACAGATATCGTAGCTTGTTTAGCTTTGTAAAATGTACCCACCTTCCTGCAGAATAACTAGGGATGGGGTTACAGAACGTTAAGTGACGTAAAAGGTATATTCCTACTTATGTTTATTATTGTGTTAAATGGAATATTATTAAACTCAGTATAATATGCTTCTATATCCTAGAAGTGTTAATGAGTGAGTGAGTATGGTTTTACGCTGCTTTTAGCAATATTCCCCATGTAGAGAATCGAACCCGGGTCTTCGGCGCGACGAACGAAAGCTTTTACCAGTAGGTTACCCCACCGCCCCTCATCAATCTGTGATGCCATTCACATACATAAACATCTGAAATTCTTACACATTCTTGCTTTTTGTGCAACATACGTGCCTCTCGTCACACATTCCAGAAGGAAAAATAATTTCAACAGTCTAGATTGTCACCCCAAAAGACACACGTGTTTTATCTTTCAGCTGCGTGCGTCCACACTGGAGAATCAACTTTGAAGGCGAATAAGGAAGTCACCGCCCCTGAACCATAGTATTTTCCCGTTCGCCAAGCCCTTAATGTAATGCTTTATCCCTAAATGAAGTCTAGATTTTGTTTGTTTGTTTGTTGTTTAACGCCGCACTCAGCACTATACCAGTTATATGACAGCGGTCTGTAAATAATCAAGTCTAGACCAGTCAAGCCAAGCAAGTAAGCGAGCCTGACCAACCGACCCCGTTAGTCATCTCTAACGACAAGCATAGTCGCCTTTTACGGTAAGCATGTGTTGCTGAATACCTGTTCTAACCCAGTCTCGCTTGGGCTCCTTTCATGTTAAATATAGTTGCCCGTTTCTCTGAAAAATATAATTATCAGAGACAAAGCGTTTGTCTTGTTGATGAGGTTAGAAAATGTCGGAGAGTTGTTTGAGGTTATTCTGAAAGTACAAGAATGTGCGAGATTTGTTTGATGGGTTAAAAACGTGTGCTATTCTTGTGCATAAAAGTCATAGCACTGTTCGGAGGATGATTTATAAGGAAAACAGGTGACTGTTGGAGTGTTTGCTTCATCAAAACAACTTTATAACAACGTATATGTTTCTTTGTCGCTACCATTGCTGCAACTACTACCATGGATGGGTGTAATATAGAATTATCAACTCAGTTAGAAAATCTCCAACTAGAAGCTGCCAGAGTAGTTACTGGGCTCCCAAAGTATACTTCGCACACACATCTGTATTATGAAACAGGATGGGAAACGTTAATAGAACGAAGAAGGAAACGCAAGCTATGTTTGTTCTACAAAATACAAAGTAATATTGCCCCAACTTACCTTAAAGACATTGTACCAACCACTGTAGGTTCAAATATATCATATAATTTAAGAAATTCAGACAATATTGTGATTCCATATACTAGATTAAAACACTCAACGTGTTCTTTTATTCCATCAACTGTAAGGTTATGGAACACTATTCCTGCAGCAGGCAGAAATTGTACATCTACATCCCAATTCACGACATACATACAAAAAGAGCAAGTCATTGCACCTCCATATTTTTCCTATGGTGTTAGAAAGTTGAATATTTATCATACTCGATTAAGATACATGAAAAGCCAGTTAAATTATGATTTATACAGAATAGAGGTAAAATGTGATCCAATATGTCAATGTGGTGATCCATGTGAAAACGCATATCATTATTTAATAAAGTGTCCATTGTACGTCCACCAAAAAAAAACTATGTTAATAATAATTCGGGACATTTTACAGAACGCCGTGAACAAAAATGCTAAATTAGATTTAAATTTGATGTTAAACGGAAATGAATGTTTGTCCATTACCGAAAATCAACACATCTTTAAGGCAGTGCAAATGTTTATAAGTCATACAAAGAGATTTGGGTAACACTTTAATGTTCATATACTAGTCTCTCTCTTTTGTACATCTCTTGTTATCTTTACACTCATCTTCTTTTCTGTTTTCCTTGTATATGATTTACTGTACAAGGTTTGTAAATACCATGGAGAGGGAGTCCTAAGTTGGATAACTTGTTCCCAATCCATTTTAATCTGAATAAAATATGTTTAAATCAACTACCAACTCCATGGTTCAGTCGATAGAGCGTCGCTGGAGAGCGGAAGGTCGGGTATTAGGTCCCCGACCGCACCATGGGATAAAACAAGGACTGGTCGGCGCGGAGTCAGGGTGCTGTGTCTGAGTGAGGTATCCATGTTAAAACCGCGGCATGATATCTCAGTTGGTTGGCGCAATAAATATGGCATTCATCCGGCCTTGAACAAGCAGACACGCATGAACGCACAAGTGAATGCAAAACGTGCAATGTTGCACGAAAGGTTAAACCCCATACCACCTCACCTCACCCCGCCGCGATTCGCTGTGCGAGTTGCGTCCCTAGGGCACGACAGAAACCTATGATTGTTGGTTCGAATCCCGGTTCGCGCCGGTTATGTTTCTAGGTTTGTCAGCACCATACCCGTACTCGTGGGTTTCACCGAAGTGATAAACGTCTGAGACCTGCATCACTTCAGGCTTTCCTCCCACATTAAGCTGACACGCCGCGATATAACTGGAATGCTGTTAAAAGCGGCGTTAAACCCAACTCACTCACTCACCTCACCCAGTAGAACATGGTTCTGGGGTTTTGTATCGAGATTGGATTTTTATTCAGCTACAAAACCAGATATTTTAAACCTTGCAACAATGGATTTTTAAAATTATTTTAGAGTCTGAAGCACAATAATGTTTTTCAAATATTTCAGCAATTGGTCGGGTTTTATGTCTTTTCTAACATCTTGACCTCCACATTGTGGCCACACTATAGGGGGGCATTCAATGAAGTGAGTGAGTGAGTTTGGTATAACGCCGGTTGTTACATCCCGTTGCATGTTCACGTTGTGCGTAAGAAACAAGACTCAAGTAATGACGATTGTTCATACTTACCACTTTGATGAAACCCACATGCACGATATGATGCTGACAAAGTGTTAAACACAATGGAATTATGCATTCGAGCCAACGATCATTGGTTTCTGTCACGCAAAAGGGAAGCAACTCCTCACGTCGGATTACAACGGATTATGAAAAAGAAATTACTGGAAAATAAACCCTGAAGGTATTTGACATTCAACCCACAATCTCCGGCCCCTTGGCCGCCTAGTGGAGTGAGTGAGTGAGTTCGGTATAACGCCGCTTTTAACAGTATTCTTGTTATATCGCGGCGTGTCAGCTTAATGTGGGAGGAAAGCCCAAAACGATGCAGGTCTCAGACGGTTACCGCTTTGGTGAAACCAACGAGCACGGGTATGGTGCTGACAAACCTAGAAACATAATCGAACGAACTGGGATTCGAACCCACGATCATAGTTTCCTGGCGTGCCAAAGGGACGCAACCATGCACAGCGAATTGCGGTGCTTTTGATGACTGGAAGCTAGAGGAACAACCCTTTGCAGCGGTTAGACCACACGGGTTGGCGCAAATAGGTCTCTTTCGGGACCAGCTTGGCTCTGCATCCAATTATAAATACTACTAGACCACATGCCTGTCTGTCCCATGTTTCTGAAACGTTCATTCGCACACGTTTCCTATTTGTCATATTTTCATTCCAATATCCGCTACTTTGCTTGAACGGAAAATCTATTTAGCTGACTATACACAGCTTTGACGAGCGTCGGAAATATTTTCTTAACTGAATCTGTGACATTTTTTGCGTTCTCGCACATGTTAAACATCCTTCCCCAACTTCAACGAACAGACATAGCATTCACTTACACTCTCTCTTTCTCCCTTTCCCACTGTTTCCTTCCCTTTCCCTTGCCTTCTTTCCCTTCCTCTTTTTCTCCCCTTCTCCACTTCTCTGAGAGTAACTGTTAAACGCAGTGCTTAGACATTATCCGTATCTAAGAATAGCATCACCAGTCAGTCTCTGCAAATACAACGCCATCGGGTAACTTTCTCACGATCAGCGGACCATACCTAACATCTGTATTCTTACCTTCATGTTGTCCGACCATGGGCAGTCCAGTCTGGGTGCTATCCATCCAACCATACGTAGTTCCTCCTGCCGGCCCCTGGTTCCCCTCCCCTCGACCAAGCATCCTATGTTCACTATGCTCCAAGCACCGGATGTCTCGTTAAGATGTTGACAGCTGCAGCGTCGGATTCGATAGATTTGGTTACGTTAGTAATGACTTCGCGTTGATGGAATTGTAACGGTTAAGGACCTTTTTGTCTCATGCAGGGTGGCTTAATGGTTTGTGTGTTCGCTCATCATGAAGAGGTCCTGGGTTCGAGTATCCTAGGAAGCATATTAGTCCATACGATTGTGGAATACACACACACACACACACACACACACACACACACACACACACACACACACACACACACACACTATATATATATATATATATATATATATATACATATATATATATATTGTTTGTGTGTGTGGTTGTACGATAGACCGCCTCCGTGGTCTAAAGGTAGAGCGTCCGCCTGGATAGCGGAAGGTCCGGGGTTCGATCCCCAGCCGCGTCACACCAAAAGACGTTAAAAGATGGTACTTCTTGTTGCTGATGCCCTGTCTGGCGCTCGGCATAATAAGGCTCAAACGAGGACTGGTCGGCTCGGAGTCAGTATACTGAGTCTGAGTGGGGTATTCATGTTAAACTGTGGCATGGTATCTCAGTGAGCTAGCACTTAAAATCGGCATTGGTCCGGACTAGTACAAGTAGCCACACACACACGCCCTGCACGTCGCTATATAAGTGCAATAATCTTGGACGCGACGTTAAACCCAATTTTACCTCACCTCATTGTACGATAAACAACGACCACGTGTCGTTTATTTCTTATATGAAGGCGCCGCAATTCGCTGTGCAGAGTTGCCCCGCTTGGGCACGCAGGAAACCTATGATTATGGGTTCGAATCCCTGTTCGCCCTGATTATGTTTCTAGGTTTGTCAGCACCATACCCGTGCTCGTGGGTTTCACCGAAGTGGTAAACGTCTGAGACCTGCATCACTTCGGGCTTTCCTCCCACATTAAGCTGACACGCTGTGATATAACTGGAATAATGTTAAAAGCGGCGTTAAACCCATCTCACTCATTCACGCAAATGAGATGTCAACATAATGTACAGAATCTTTAAGGATGATGATGAAATGTACAAGTTTTAACAATAGTTACCAATATTTTGATAATGATGACTGCCTCAATAGAATCCGACCATGGCTATGTCGGACAAGTGCATAGGTGGGTAGTTCCCGCATATTCTCACTGTTGTGTGTTGGGTGGGTTGGAGTGTGGTGGGTGTTGGGGGCCTCAACACTTATGGGATGAAGTTCTTTATCCGACATTGAACCTTTGATCTGAACAGTTATGCCACCAAGGAGTCGTCATGACCGTGACAGTATTCCAGTTATTTCACGGCGTGTCAGCTTGATGTGGGAGGAAAGCCAGAAGTGATATACGTCTCAGACTTTTACCACTTTGGTGAAACACACGAGTACGGGTAAAGTGCTGACAAACCTTGAACCGGGATTCGAAACCACATTTATATATTTCTGGCATACCTTATGACATCTCGCAGGACATCGAATTGCGGTCATCACCAAGAATAAAAACGCAATAAAATGTATTTAATTTTATTACGAATTCATGTAAGTGAATATACAGAAGAAATAATCGTGACACATATACAAACTTATGTATATACATAAAATATAAATATTTTTGACACCATTTTCTTACAAATTGTTGAAACATTACACGTTGATATGTTTTAAAATACAATATCATTCCTTTACGTCCCATGGTTTGCTTTTTCAAACTGACCATAGTCGTCGGGCCATACCAAAACAAAACCACACCTAACGTAACACGTGACATAATACGTCAACATTCAATTCAATCTACCTTTCTGCATACATCAACAGTAAAAGAATTTTAACGTTATAATAAGACACCCACTGTAGACCAGCTAGTTCATACAACATCCAGAAATCCCGACCTCTTGGTGACCGATAGTTCATACAAATATCCAGAAATCCCGACCTCTTGGTGACCAATTGTTTATACAATATCCAGAAATCCCAACCTCTTGATGACCGATAGTTCATACAATATACAGAAATCCCGACCTCTTGGTGACCGATAGTTCAAACAATATCCAGAAATCCCGACCTCTTGATGACCGATAGTTCATTCAATATCCAGTAAAACGGGCTCTTGATGACCGATAGTTCAAACAATATCCAGAAATCCAGACCTCTAGTTTATACAAAGGATATTAAGTAACAATGATTCGCTAATCATTTAATCCAGTCGATTTTGATGTAAACGGTACTGTCCAGTATAACGAGGTGTCGTACTTCACATATGAATAATAATTCCCAGCTCAACATACCCAAAGAGCCAGGATGATGAAAATTTATCTTTACTCCATTTACCAATGAAATTCAAGTATTTTTATTGTAAGGTAAAGATAAAAGTTTGAATTGGCCCAAACCTTACAGTTTCAACACAAAACATATTCAGACTGAAGACTGCCAAAAACTAATTTAATCAATGAAACAGTTAAGAGCTACATGTACGTATCTCTGTGACGTCCAACTATTGAAAAATAGAAAAAAAAACACTGTGATGAGATATTCCGCTGTTTTCATGTTATATACAGTGGGTGATTTCAACGGGGCCTTGAACAATATCTAATCATATCGCGATTGTCAGCCTGATGTGGGTGTAGTTAGAAGTTGTGCAGTTCTTTGAGCATAGGCGTGGTGTTGAGAAATCTAGAAAATATAATCAGTGAAAATCTGGGATTTGAACCCATGATCATAGGTTTCTGGCACGCCTGAAGAAGGCAAGTTTTCATAGCGAATTTCTGCGTCTTAGATGACTGGGCCGCTGTGTCCCTTTGCAAATAGAAAAAGATGGCATTCCAGACGGTAGACTAACGCCAAGTCTCAGAAAATATATAACTTTGATGGAAACAAGCAACTAAATTCAAATTGAAAAGGAGCCCCAGTGAGATGTGAGAACATGTGGAAAACGTAATCTTGCTTCATTTAGGCGTAGAGCATTACAGTAAAAACTGGGCAAAGGGAATACAATATGGTTCCCGGACTGTGAGACAGTCTAGCCAGTCGGTTGCCATGTAGACAGGATGACAAGGAATGCTGATAAAACCTTTGGAATTATAATATTTGTTGTTGGTTTGTGTTTTATCAAAGAATGAGCAGATAAGTCATTGTCGATGAGCAGGTTTGTTACTGTACCGTACGTGTAAACAATGCATGTAAACAACAACATACATCAAAATATACAAAGTATCATCTAAATATTGATTCTAAGGGACCGACCAATTGATATTGTAGAGGGTCGGGGGTATGGTTGGTATGGAATGCGAAATTGTTTCAGCTAGAGCCGCAAAACCACCAGGAACTGTTTCAGTCAAAACGAAGAGCCAATTCTCTAAACCATCTTCAACAATGTATTTTGTTGTGGTACACAATTTCTTCTTTTTATTCAGTTGTCTAAAGCATAATTTTTGTTCCATTGATTTGTGTTCCGTAAAATCTCATAAACCCTCTCACCCCAATCTCACTCCCAAGAATATCAAATAGTCGGCCCCTATTGTATTTACAAAGCATAAAACAAGACATGGAATGTTGGAAAAGCAGTCATATGCCTCAAAACAAGTGCAATGATGTCTTACAGTGTGAAACTACTGATTTTGAAACACTATTGAGAAACAACGTCAAGTTAATCAACACAACATAATCATTATATGAAGATTATTGTATTTTTCTTCTGCAAATGTTTGCAAGGTCATATGTGCAAATGATTGAATATTCCTGAGAATAGAAATTTCAAAGTGACGTTTATGACACGAACATGAAAAAATACGACAATGTGTGTGAAACGAAACTAAATGCAACAGATCATCTTGTGTAAAACATAACTGAATGCATCACATCGTCTTGTGTGAAACATTACTGAATGCATCACATCATCTTGTGTTAAACATAACAGAACGAATCACATCATCTTGTGTGAAACATAACTAATGCATCACATCGTCTTGTGTGAAACATAACTGAATGCATCACATCATCTTGTGTGAAACATAACAGAACGAATCACATCATCTTGTGTGAAACATAACTAATGCATCACATCGTCTTGTGTGAAACAATTGAATTCAACACAAAAATGTGCAAGACATCACTGAATGCAAAACAGTATTGTGACTGCAATACATTGCATCATGTGAAACATAACTGAATGCATCACAATTCATTGTGTGAAACATACGTAAATGCAACACAAGTTTATGTGTGAAACATGTGAACATGGTAAAGGTAATGCCGCTTGACACTGTTTGTAAAATGAATGCCACACAACACTGCCAAACACTGGCAAAAAGCGTGTTGAGAACATTAGTTCGGGGAAGCAATGTAACTGTGTGAACCTGGAAGTTTTTGCAGTGAAGAGAAGTTTGTCGGGGAGTGGAATTTGACCCAGTTTATCCGAAGTTTGTGTTTCAAGAAAAGAGGTTCAGAATGAAAAGTGACACACGACGAATTTGAAACTTGCTGGTAAATCGAACACACGTGTAAAGTTTCCAGAGATAATAGTCGTGCTGAATGTCTAAAGTATCAAATATCAACTTTATACGTATCTGGTATCAATTTATCAAGTATCAATTTCATCAAGTATCAAGATAATGTTCAAGGAAATTCTAGGTACGACACTTGGAGCCTTCGTAATTACACATACAGTAAACTACGGTTATAACGAACTCAAATGGACCACAAATCTTAATTCGTTATAACCACATATACAACATATATACAGCAAATGGCCGGGACCAAAAATAAAGTTCGTAATAACCGTCAGTTCGTTATAAGCGTGTTCGTTATAAACGTATTTTACTGTATATCAATAAACTGGTTTAAACTACGTGGTCTATGGAGCACGTGGTACTGTGTACTGCAATTCAGGCGAAGGTAAACAACGTTGGTCGCAGAGAGTACGCGGATGGGTGACTGTGGTCGGTAGCTTGACTGCTAAGAGTTTCTAGGGCTTCGGTCCCATCCCACACTGAAATACATTTTACATTTTATATCTCAAAAGGCAAGAAACTTCGTCTGAAATACGCCTTTGTTAACCCAGCAGTGAAGGGGTACCCGGTAGCAAAAGATGACAATGTGTCTGTAAATCATCTAGCGCCTCATACGGCAGCTTATTGTGTGTACTTCCCAGGGGGGTGATAATAAAATTTGAGTGCACATTGATTCATAGACCAGGGGAAAAAATGTAACTTAGGTTTAACGCCGCTTTTGACGGTATTTCAGTTTGATCACGATTGTCAGATTAATGTGGGAGGAAGGCACAAAGTTAAGCAGGTCCAAGACGTTAAGCACTTTGGGGAAACCCACGAGTATGGGGAAGGAGCTTAGAAAACTGGAATAATAACCAGGGTGAATCTGGGATTCGAACACTCGATTATAGGTTTATGGCACGTCAAAGCACGCAACTCAACTTAACGTATAGCGGCGGAAATTTTGAAAAATAATCAGTTCCTACAAACACTGTTTTTTTGTTGTTTAACGCCGCACTCAGCAATATTCTAGTTATATGACCGCGGTCTGTAAATAATCGAGTCTGGATCAAACAATCCAGTGATTAACATTATGAGCCTCGACCCACGCTATGGGGATATGATGACATGTATCAACCAAGTCAGCGAGCCTGACCACCCGATCCCTCTTAGACGCCTCTTACGGCAAGCATAGTCGCATTTTACGGCCAGCATGGGTTGCTGAAGACCTATTCTACCCCGGATCTTCACGGGTTCTACAAATTATGGAAAATATACAAAAGAGCACTGGAATGCATCAAAAGGCCAAGGTACATATTTTGGAAGAAACGATAACTTTTAGGAGATCAAGATGGATATCTCGACGAGTCAGACCTTAGCGCTGTGAGGACACAACGGCAAAGCATTGTCGTCTACGGACCGCAGTGACATGATATAACAACCTTCTTGGGTGAGACCGATTCATCTAACAGGCGAAACCATCTGTGGTAGGAGGGTGCCAATGCCCCTTATCTTGGCATCCGGCATACCACTTAATTTGTCTTGGCATCACTTGACTCATATAACTGAGCACAGCTGGTACAAATTAATTAGACCGGGACTTTCACATACAATAAATGGTCATGCGTGCTCAAAGTTTAAAGGCTAAATATATTACTCATTTGTCACTCTTACATGACATCCAGCGTCCTCGCACTGTGGCATCCTGAATACGACAGGGCTCGGCATCCGGCGTATCATTGGCATTGACAATGCAATTCGGTGTCCTTATGACATTAAAAATGGTATATTATTCAGCTAGGGTCTTCCCAAAAATGGGATACATTGACAAGTGTAGGTGTTCCCCTGGATGAGGCTTGCCACAAAACTGTCTAGTGTAATCACACTGATACAAATTTGCTCCGAAAGATTTTAAAGTCAGAGTGTTATGCTATGGGGTTAATTTGAAACCATAGTATTTACTTGAACGTAAATCTGTTGGCAAATGACAATTACGTTTGTCTTGCAAGGAATGACTACCACCCAGTAATTAAATGTATTGGCAAATTTTAGTGTTCTCCGGGATGAAAGGAAGCGTTGGCCTGCTTTTAACAACCTGATACCAATTTGATGATATTTGTTTTTAAAAAGCAGTAAGGAGTTAGGAAATATTATGATTTACTTGAATATAAATCTGAAGTCAAGTGACAATTACGTTTGTCGTGCAAGGAATGTCTACCACCCAGTAATTAAATGTATTGGCAAATTTTAGTGTTCTCCTGGATGAAGGAAGTGTTGGCCTGCTTTTACCAACCTGATACCAATTTGATTATATATATATCAGTAAGGAGTAAGGAAATATTATGATTTACTTGAACGTAAATCTGAAGGCAAGTGACAATTACGTTCCCCAAGCCAGGATTCGATATCAATTCTTTTACTATATTCTTCCGCATTGTGAAGCTTTTTACATAAGTCACACCATGGCCGAGGAAAAGCAACATAATATTTCTGCTTTTCTCTCAATATTTTTAAATACTCTGTGTCATCCTTCATTAAATAACTCAGGTATGCGCCAAGCTTTTTACCAGATCGAAAATCGGCTGTATTGATGAGAAACCCATCACCAAACAAACTCGAGTAATTTGCTCCACCTCTTACCACAGGGACAACATCGTATTTGAACGTTTTGAAGAATTTTTCTGTAACATAATCAACGCACAGGGAATTCTCGAAGGCAAGAAAGAAGCGATACTGCTCCAGCTTTTGATAGCAGTTGCTGCCACACTTGTACGGACCACACCGACCGTAAATATCAACTTGAATGTATTTTTTTAATTCGCGAACATATCTCTCCCGTTTGCTGTGGGACACACATCGACTCACAAACCAAGCAACAGCTTTGGTCTTTTTTTTCAAAATCTTTTCAAAATAATCCATGCTGAGTTTTGTCCTGTTGCGGCGCAGTTCTCCATAAGATCTCCATACATCCGAGTCCCGTCTGTAGGTAATTGTCCAATTGAAAGCATGTTGCCACTTGGTGGAAATATCCATGTACACTGGCGGCTCCAGACTGAAAAACACAAACATTTGCTCCGGTCGTCGAGGTGGTGGTGAGCTGTCGCTGATGTTAATGCCGTTCACGAGGACGGCATCAGCGGTGGGAACGTCATGATGGTCGTAAGACATTGTGCACTGGCTGACTTCACATCCAGAGAATATGGATTCTGACGAAAAGCGAGTAAACCAGTTCGGTGTATTGAACCACACAATTGATTTAGTATATTTTCTTTTATTCTTGGTCTCGTGAGATTCTTTTCGCTTTGAAGAGCTCGCGTTAAACATGCTTTCGTTGATATGAGGGAAAATCAACCGTCTTTTTTCTGTACTATCTTTCAAGACATCTGCATCCCCGAAGATCGAATGACGTCGACGGAAGTGCTTCTCAAATCTGGAATATCAAAAAATATGTTGAATCATATGTAAATTAGAACTATTTACGTAAATTTAATTTGATAGATTTAAGCAAGTCGGTTACAGCCAAGTATCACTCCTTTTTCCAAAGTTAGTGAATTTTTAACGCCGCTCCTGGAGATAATCTTACAATATCACGGTAGGGGAGGACTAGACTTGCACAAGTCTCTAAGGCAATAGTTATTAGTTTAAAAAATAATTGCTAGATTATGTAAATAATATTTGTTTGTTTGTTAGTTGTGTTATGCCTCACTCCAGCTACATGTAAATAATCGAGGCTGTACCAGACAATCCAGTGATTGACATCAGCGATCAACGCAGTTGGGATGCAATGACAAGCATCAATCAAGTTAGCGAGCCTCTTGCGACAAGAATATTCGCCTTTCACGGCAAGCATGGGTTGCTGAAGAATTATTCTACCCCGGATGTTCACGGGTCATGTAAATAAAAAGAACAAGTTGTCCCTATAAGAGTCCTTGTACTGTCGACATATCTGGACTTGTCCATTAGGAGGATAGAATTAGTACACATCCATGGATTTATCTTTCAGTACAGCCTTGGAGCAAGGCTAGGGGAGCGAACACGTTAACCACTAAGCTAATCAACCCATATTAACCACTAAGCTAATCAACCCCATATTGTTCAGTATGACGATATTTTACGTTCGTAGCAGAATCCTCAATACACTGGGTACATGTAGGTAATCCATATGTCTCGAAGTACGGATAACACGACATGTTCGGTGTAAGAGAGGAAACGCGCCTCCGAGATCCAATTTACATTTGACGTTACAACAAGACAGTGGTAAAGCCTGTTTATTTATCATCCAAAACTGGCTCCCACAGGAGATATGGCTTGGATAAGATCAAGCGATATCTACACTGTAGATATCGCTGCAATGAAATTACATAACAATGCTTTGAAGACCATTGTGACGTCACTGGTTACCATGACGTCACAATCAAATGACATCACTAATGGCTCTGCTACTGAAGCTGTTAGCAGTACTTTTTACACTGAATACACTGCTAATTACTGTCTACAAATTGAAAAAGTTGGAAGAATGATGTTGGATGATAAATAAAATCTCACCCTCGTGTCTTTTGATATCAAATATATCAACACGCGTTGATAAAAGTGACAAAAATCCACGGCAAGCCTCGGAATTTTTCAACTTTTATCAACTCGTGTTGATATATTTGATATCAAAAGACACTCGGGTGAGATTCTCTATGTATACGACTGTTGGCGATAGCAGTCGCTGCACGAAAAATTGTTGAAAATGTAAGCACCAAAACCGAGAAGTGAGAAGTAAAAGAAATACAAGAAAAATAAGGACACCATACTAAATACCAGGTCTTGCAAAAATAAAAACTCCCAAGAGGTTATTAGGGGATAGGAAGTATAGGTGAGTAGAAATATAAAATAATTCTTCAAAATCAAATCCTGGAAAAACATAATTCGGCTTCAGGGTTTACAAAGATGTTAAGGTATTACTGATAATGCTTTATTATTATCCAACGCGTGAAGAATAATTACCTGGAAATCTCCCTCATGGACAGCACGAATGTACAAATGGCGAACGTCACCGTCAGCACGACATGCACTGAACGCACCGTCCTCGTCGGAAGAAACATCTTCTGCAAAACAAAACAGTTTGAAGGCACATACGTCGCCACATATTTACAAAGGCTATGATGACACACGGTTGTGTCGACGTGACTGAAATGGACCTTTTGTTACTCATACACAAACATTGGTGACTTAGTGAAGGGTGAAGCTTTGTTGGTTTGTTGTTTAACGCCGCACTCAGCAATATTCCAGCTATATGACGGCGGTCTGTAAATAATCGAGTCTGGACCAGACAATCCAGTGATTGATATCATGAGCATCGATCCACGCAATTGGGATACGATGACATGCTTCAACCAAGTCAGCGAGCCTGACCACCCGATCTCGTTAGTCGCCTCTTGCAGTGAGGTGAGGTGAAATGGGGTTTAACGTCGCGTCCAAGATTATTGCACTTATAGAGCGATGTGCATGCACGTGTGTGTGTGTGTGTGTGTGTGTGTGTGTGTGTGTGTGTGTTTGTGTGTGGCTGCTTGTTCTAGTCCGGACTGGTGCAGATTTATAATGCTAGCTCACTGAGATAACATGCCGCAGTTTAACATGAATACCCCTTAATAATCTTGGACGCGATGTTAAACCCTATTTCACCCCCCTTTTAATCTACCCCATCGTTTCTACCTTTCGACAAAAACTACAAACATCTAGAACATTAGTAAAACATATCTATGCATTTACGTTTAATCTCACCTTAATACAACGACACATTAGGAAATGGAACTCAACCGAACGTCACCCTCGTGTACACCTCGGCAAAGACTGTGAATGTATCTAACCGTTAGACGAGTGACAATGGGCACCAATGCGTAAGACTCTTAAACTCCTCGTACGAAGTCAGGGCACGTTTTATAGTCGAATAGTAGTGTCACGTAACAGGCACGCGCTGGACTGTCGTGGATCATTTTTGAATAAGGAAGTGGTGATCGCATCAAAGCACTTTCAACATAATGACATATCCCGTTATCGAGTGGTGTCCCGTTAGCGACTGAAACATCCCGTTATAGTCTTTCCCGTTATTGGACACATACACTACTGCCTAGAAGTTCATCCCCCTTACACGCATGGGCAACGCGTTACGCAACCAGTGTGCATCGGGTTGGTCACTCGTGTGGAACCCGTCCGCCACGCGTGTGATACTCGTGTGCACCCCGTTCGTCACTCGTGTGCAACGCGTGACACACTCATTAGAGGGGGAACAAACTTTTGACCAAAGGAGGACCCGTGTTAAGCTGAACCTGTATATAGACGTGTCTCGTCATTGCACACGTATAGAGAAGTGTCCTGCCATTGGACACATTTTGAGACGTGTCCTGTCATTGCACACGTATAGAGTGAGTGAGTGAGTGAGTGAGTGAGTATGGTTTTAGCAATATTCCAGCAATACACGGCGGGGGACACCAGAATTGGCTTCACACATTGTACCCATGTCGGGAATCGAACCCGGGTCTTCAGCGTGACGAGCGAACGCTTCACCACTAGGCTACTCGACCGCCCCCACACGTATAGAGACGTGTCCTGTCACTGGACACTTTCAGAGACGTGTCCTGTCACTGGATACTTATAGCCACGTGTCCTGTCACTGGACACTTTCAGAGACGTATCCTGTCATTGGACACGTATAGAGACGGGATCGAACCACTGAACCAGCGGGCGCTCAGTCCACTTGACCACGGAGGCGTTTACAGTGGCACCTAGGCTACAGCGAGTCAAACGACACTTTCAACAGTGTTTCAGTTATATCAGGGCCTATCAGCCCTATGAGGAAGGAAAGCCCAAAGATAACGTCGGTTGTCGTTGTTGATGTAAAGTGTTGAGACTGGACTTGGTGCTGACAATAACATGCATATCAGTAGAGGAAACTCTGGGATTCGACCTACTATTTGAAATATATTGATCCACGCAAATGTTTCTGTGTTTAGTTCGCCCTTCCCAACTAAGGATTAGTGTTTCCTTGTTGTTGTTAACGCCGCACGAAGCAGTGTTCTAGATATGTGACGTCGATCTGTGAATAATCGAGCCTCGACCAGACACTGCAGGGTTATATCAGCTAACAGTACCACAAGAATATACTGAGTGGCCTTAAATGAACCATTAGAACCTCTTAGTAAACGCTGGTGCAGCAGCCCAGCCTCTGAGGACATGTTGGTGCGGTAGATATGACTCCAGGTACATGTTGGTGTAGTGGACACGTCTCTTACTACATGTTGGTCTAGTAGACAAGCCTCTTTGTACATGTTGGTGTAGCAGACGTGCCTCTTAGTTCATGTTGGTGTAGCAGACGTGCCTCTTAGTACATGTTGGTGTAGCAGACGTGCCTCTTAGTACATGTTGGTGTAGCAGACCAGTCTCTTAGTACATGTTGGTGTAGTGGACATGTCTCTTAATACATGTTGCTGTAGCAGACGTGCCTCTTAGTACATGTTGGTCTAGTAGACCAGTCTCTTGGTACATGTCGGTGTAGCAGACGTGCCTCTTAGTACATGTTGGTGTAGCAGACCAGTCTCTTAGTACATGTCGGTGTAGCAGACGTGCCTCTTAGTACATGTTGGTGTAGCAGACCAGTCTCTTAGTACATGTTGGTGTAGTGGACATTTCTCTTGGTACATGTCGGTGTAGCAGGCGTGCCTCTTATTACATGTTGGTGTAGCAGACCAGTCTCTTAGTACATGTCGGTGTAGCAGACGTGCCTCTTAGTACATGTTGGTGTAGCAGACCAGTCTCTTAGTACATGTTGGTGTAGTGGACATTTCTCTTAGTACATGTCGGTGTAGCAGACGTGCCTCTTAATACATGTTGGTGTAGCAGACGTGCCTCTTAGTACATGTTGGTGTAGCAGACCAGTCTCTTAGTACATGTTGGAGTAGTAGACAAGTCTCTTAGTACATGTTGGTGTAGTGGACATGTTTCTTAGTACATGTTGGTGTTGCAGACCAGTCTCTTATTACATGTTGGTGTAGTGGACATGTATCTTACCACATGTTGCTGTAGCAGACGTGCCTCTTAATACATGTTGGTGTACTAGACCAGTCTCTTAGTACATGTTGGTGTAGTGGACATGTCTCTTAGTACATGTTGGTGTAGCAGACCAGTCTCTTAGTACATGTTGGTGTAGTGGACATGTATCTTACCACATGTTGGTCTAGTAGACAAGCCTCTTAGTACATGTTGCTGTAGCAGACGTGCCTCTTAATACATGTTGGTGTAGTAGACCAGTCTCTTAGTACATGTTTGTGTAGTGGACATGTCTCTTAGTACATGTAGATGTAGTAGAAATGCCTCTTAATACATTTAGGTGTAGTAGACATGTCTCTTAGTACATGTTGGTGTAGTGGACATGTCTCTTACTACATGTTGGTCTAGTAGACAAGCCTCTTAGTACATGTTGGTGTAGTAGACATGTCTCTTTGAACATGTTAGTGTAGCAGACGTGCCTCTTAGTACATGTCGATGTAGCAGACGTGCCTCTTAATACATGTTGGTGTAGTAGACCAGTCTCTTAGTACATGTTGGTGTAGTGGACATGTATCTTAGTACATGTTAGGGTAGTCGACATGTCTCTTAGTACATGTAGATGTAGTAGACAAGCCCCTTACTACATGTGAGTCTAGTAGACAAGCCTCTTACCACATGTTGCTGTAGCAGACGTGCCTCTTAGTACATGTTGGTGAAGTAGACCCGTCTCTTAGTACATGTTGGTGTAGTGGACATGTCTCTTAGTACATGTTGGTGTAGTAGACATGTATCTTAGTACATGTTAGAGTAGTCGACATGTTTCTTAGTACATTTTGGTGAAGTAGACCAGTCTCTTAGTATATTTAGGTGTAGTGGACATGTCTCTTAGTACATGTAGGTGGAGCAGACAATCCTCTTAGTACATGTTGGTGTAGCAGACCAGTCTCTTAGTACATGTTGGTGTAGTGGACATGTCTCTTACTACATGTTGGTCTAGTAGACAAGCCTCTTAGTACATGTTGGTGTAGCAGACGTGCCTCTTAGTTCATGTTGGTGTAGCAGACGTGCCTCTTAGTACATGTTGGTGTAGCAGACGTGCCTCTTAGTACATGTTGGTGTAGCAGACCAGTCTCTTAGTACATGTTGGTGTAGTGGACATGTCTCTTAATACATGTTGCTGTAGCAGACGTGCCTCTTAGTACATGTTGGTGTAGCAGACCAGTCTCTTAGTACATGTTGGTGTAGTGGACATGTCTCTTAGTACATGTAGGTGGAGCAGACAATCCTCTTAGTACATGTTGGTGTAGAAGACGTGTCTCTTAGAACATGTAGATGTAGTAGAAATGCCTCTTAGTACATTTAGGTGTAGTAGACATGTCTCTTAGTACATGTTGGTGTAGTGGACATGTCTCTTACTACATGTTGGTCTAGTAGACAAGCCTCTTAGTACATGTTGGTGTAGTTGACATGTCTCTTTGTACATGATGGTGTATTAGACATGTCTCTTAGTACATGTTGGTCTAGTAGACATGTCTCTTTGTACATGTTGGTGTAGCAGACGTGCCTCTTAGTTCATGTTGGTGTAGCAGACGTGCCTCTTAGTACATGTCGGTCTAGTAGACAAGCCTCTTTGTACATGTTGCTGTAGCAGACGTGCCTCTTAGTACATGTTGGTCTAGTAGACAAGCCTCTTTGTACATGTTCCTGTAGCATACGTGCCTCTTAATACATGTTGGTGTAGTAGACCAGCCTCTTAGTACATGTTGGTGTAGTGGACATGTCTCTTAGTACATATTGGTGTAGTAAAAATGTATCTTAGTACATGTTAGGGTAGTCGACATGTCTCTTAGTACATGTTGGTGTAGTGGACATGTCTCTTAGTACATGTTGGTGTAGTAGAAATGTCTCTTAGCACATTTAGGTGTAGTGGACATGTCTCTTAGTACATGTAGGTGGAGCAGACAATCCTCTTAGTACATGTTGGTGTAGTAGACGTGTCTCTTAGAACATGTTGGTGTAGTAGAAATGTCTCTTAGCACATTTAGGTGTAGTGGACATGTATCTCAATACATGTAGGTGGAGCAGACAATCCTCTTAGTACATGTTGGTGTAGTAGACGTGTCTCTTAGAACATGTTGGTGTAGTAGAAATGTCTCTTAGCACATTTAGGTGTAGTGGACATGTCTCTTAGTACATGGAGGTGGAGCAGACAATCCTCTTAGTATATGTTGGTGTAGTAGACGTGTCTCTTAGAACATGTTGGTGTAGTAGAAATGTCTCTTAGCACATTTAGGTGTAGTGGACATGTCTCTTAGTACATGGAGGTGGAGCAGACAATCCTCTTAGTACATGTTGGTGTAGTAGACGTGTCTCTTAGAACATGTTGGTGTAGTAGAAATGTCTCTTAGCACATTTAGGTGTAGTGGAAATGTCTCTTAGTACATGTTGGGGTTGTAGACATGTCTCTTAGTACACTTTGGTGGCGTAGACAAGCCTCTTAGTACATGTTGGTGTAGTAGACATGTCTCTTTGTACATGTTGGTGTAGTAGACATGTCTCTTTGTACATGTTGGTGTAGTAGACAAGCCTCTTAGTACATGTTGGTGTTGTAGACGTGCCTCTTAGTACATGTTGGTGTTGTAGACGTGCCTCTTAGTACATGTTGGTGTAGTAGACATGTCTCTTAGTACATGTCGGTGTTGTAGACGTGCCTCTTAGTACATGTTGGTGTAGTAGACATGCCTCTTAGTACATGTTGGTGTTGTAGACGTGCCTCTTAGTACATGTTGGTGTAGTAGACATGTCTCTTAGTACATGTTGGTGTTGTAGACGTGCCTCTTAGTACATGTTGGTGTTTTAGACATGTCTCTTAGTACATGTTGGTGTTGTAGACGTGCCACTTAGTACATGTCGGTGTAGCATACACGCTTCTTGATACATGTTGGTGTAGTAGACATGTCTCTTAGTACATGTTGGTGTAGTAGACATGTCTCTTAGTACACATGTTGGTGTAGTAGACA